TTACAAGCCCCACTGTATTTCTACTATAATTGTTCAGGCACTGTGTGCATGCTTTTGAAATCATGATGAAAATGCCAGGGGCCCGTTTCACAAAGCCTACTTAGGACTAAGTTATATCTTAGGAAGGAACTTTTTCCTAGGTTCATTACTTATCAGCAGGCATGTTCACGAAGCTATCTTAGGACTACGGTGTGTCCTAAGAACGTCTTAGGAAATGTCCTAGTTTTAAGTCAGCTAGTTTCTCGAAGCTTTCCTCAATTTAGAAACTTTCCTAAGTTTTTCCTAACTTTAGGACAACATAATACCTGTCCTAAGATCATCCTAAGTTTGTTTTGATGCTTATGATTTTGAACATTGCAAGTATAAGCGACAATTTCTTGTTTCTCAGCAGTCCGTGTATGAAGGTAGATCACTTAGAGCTCGAGGTTATTATTTTTTAAACTACATAAATCTTAACTACAATTTGTTTGTTTCGATACGATTTACAAGCGGTATTAAATATTTTATAATAGCAAAAAAAGGCAAACATTGAAATATACAGAAGTCACATGGACATGTAAATGTATTTCCTTTTTTAATGTTATGCAATTTCTTTCCCGTAAAATGTTTCCAAAATTATACATTTATCGATAAATGTTTAAGATACAAGTGTTCATGTAAGTTAGGATGTCCTAACTTAAGATGTTCCTAAGTCACCGTCGAGATACATCTTATGATATGTCCTAAGTTGATCTTAAGATGTTTCTAAATTTCTTCCTAAGTCATATCTTAGGAATGGTCTTAGGACAAATCTTAGGAAAGTTTCATGAACATGCCTGCTGTTTCACTAACCTCGTCTTATCTTAGGATATTCCTAAGTTATGTCGTAACTTTAGGACAGGTAAATCGATGACTTAGGAAGAAACTAAGTATTGCGACTGCATATCCAAAATTTCTTATGGGGAGAGAGAGAGAATGTGTTTGGGAAGAGAAAATTCAATGAACTACTAGTATGTGGATGATTGAGTTTTCTCCAGGTCAAACTGCTTTACTTTGCACGGAAATACTAGGATTTCAATAATTGGCAAACATGTGTCAAAATTACCCGTACGAAACAGTCCGGGTGGCTTAGACACGGCTCAGGCGCGGATTCCGTCTCCAAAAAGCCATGCTTTAGCATTCCGTGCTCCTATGTAAAGTATGTATGGAAAGCCGTGCCTAAAAGTGGTCGAGGCACGGACACGGCACGGGATATTGGCCGAAATATTTAAATGAGATCTCACGGTTTTACAAAACCCGTGTCAGAAAGCCGTGCTAGTTTCCATATATGGACTCACGGATTCTGTAAACCCGTGTCTGAAACCCGTGTCCTTTTCCATATATGGAGACACGGTTTTTTGAAAACCCGTGTCAAAAAAGCCGTGCCGTATACCATATAAGGAGTCACGGGATCTGTGCATTTGTTTAGATCTAGGTCATGGCCTTTAGAGACTGTGGATGCCAAAATGGTGACTGAAACCAAAATAACTTCACATTGCTTTACATTATTTGCTTAGATTTAGAATTTCAAAAGTTAAAAATCTTATATGAATGTGTCCATTTACTTTCTGTTCAAGATTAACTTTATAAGTTACAATCCATGCTAGTTTTTAATAAGATTTTAATGATAATGTACAATATTCAATTGTAATTCAATCTAGTAGCTAAGTTTGCACAATCTGAGAAAGAATTTACTTTAAATAAAACTTTCACTAGCACAGTGATGTCACATAAAATATATATACTATAAAGGATTAGTGAAAGTCCAACTAAAGTCATTCAAATAAACCTAAACTATTTCATCATGTTCATTGTCAACATCGCAATACAGGAAGATCATGAAAATTGAAAAATTGACTTATTTATTCTAGATTACACTTACTGCATTTAGTTCAAAAGTGAAGAAATTATCCCAGACTGACATAAATGCAATTCCAACTGACATCTATTAGTTAAATATCCTTTAAATAGAGCAAAAAGACACACTGACTTAGCTCATGACCATGAATCCCTCCAATTTAATATTCAAATAAAGGAAGTTATGATTGAGCATGCTCAGTAAAAATCCGTGAGATATAAATAAATAGTTTGAACCAAAACCCGCCTTAGTTAAAAACCGTCTCCCTGGGACACGGATTCCGTGCATCCACACGGGTTTCTGTGAGCGAGGATTCCTCACTATCAGACACGGAAGCCGTGTCCGTGTCTTGGACATTCAGAACCCGTGCGGCTTTTTAAAAACCCGTGCGGATTCCGTGTCTTAGCCGTGCCCAAGCCGTGCCTATTCCGCCTCGAACTTTCGTACGGGTAGCTCTCTGATGATCCATCTCAATTTTTTTTAGAACAGCTAGCGAGCTACAGATCTGCAGCTAGACAATTGTCATAAATTTAATTTTACAAATTCATTTGAAATGTAACAGAATTGAATTTTATGAAGAGAATTATTTCTAATGCTTATTTTTAACATATGCTAAAATTATTTACCTATCAAGTTAAGACAGTAAAAAGGAATTTGTCACTCAGTATTTATCTAAGGAATCAGTGTCAATCCTCAACCTCAAAGAGCGTTCGACTTGTATGACAATTGCGTATGTGTGATAAAACTGCCGTGGACTATCCCGGACGTGACCATTAGATGTACTGGACATTCCGTCATCAAGAAAATATAGTTTTACTCTGGACAATTCCGAGTTACCAAAACGTTTGTGTATGTCCATGTGTGAGCATTTCAACCTGTCTTTGTTTTATGTGACTTGACTTGATTTATTTTTCAAAATAAGCTTAAGCCAAACAGTAAGACAGAAGTTGTTTTGTGGGAACATTCCAGAGCTTATCATAGTTATGCACATTCTGCATGTAAATTAAAGTAAATATATCAAGAAAATTCCATATAAATTACATTGAAAATATTGCAATACATATCGCAATACAGTAAAAAATATCGCAATATAACACAATATGAAATCCCGGGCCAATACCTAGCCCAAGTGACTAATATTAAAAGTACACCTTTTTTGTTAACTAAACCCAATGCCATCTGAGTTGCTGGTGTAAAGACAAATAATGACTTTCAAAGAATAATGATCGGGAGTCAATTTTCGAGTGATTCAAAAATTCCAATCTCCTAAAACCTTGTATCCATTATTTTTAATTTTAACTTAGAAAATTTCAGCCTTCTAAACCTTTGTATCCTTTTCTTATAGTGTTGTAACCTGCTGTACCCAAGTGTACCCTTTGTACCCACTGTACCCTGAGCATCCGCTTCATTATTTTTAATTTTAACCTAGAAAATTTCAGCCTTCTAAACCTTTGTATCCTTTTCTTATAGTGTTGTAACCTGCTGTACCCAAGTGTACCCTTTGTACCCACTGTACCCTGAGCATCCGCTTCATTATTTTTAATTTTAACCTAGAAAATTTCAGCCTTCTAAATCCTTGTATTCATTTCTTATAGTGTTGTAACCTGCTGTACCCAAGTGTACCCTTTGTACCCACTGTACCCTGAGCATCCACTCCATTATTTTTAATTTTAACCTAGAAAATTTCAGCCTTCTAAACCTTTGTATCCTTTTCTTATAGTGTTGTAACCAGCTGTACCCATGTGTACCCTTTGTACCCACTGTACCCTGAGCATCCACTCCATTATTTTTAATTTTCACTTAGAAAATTTCAGCCTTCTAAACCTTTGTATCCTTTTCTTATAGTGTTGTAACCAGCTGTACCCTTTGTACCCACTGTACCCTGAGCATCCACTCCATTATTTTTAATTTTAACTTAGAAAATTTCATCCTTAAATTCTAAACCCTTGTATCCATTTCTTATAGTGTTGTAACCTGCTGTACCCATGTGTACCCTTTGTACCCACTGTACCCTGAGCATCAGCTCAATTATTTTTAATTCTAACTTAGAAAATTTCAGCATTCTAAACCCTTGTTTCCATTTCTTATAGTGTTGTAAACCTGCTGTACCCATGTGTACCCTTTGTACCCACTGTACCCTGAGCATCCACTCCATTATTTTTAATTTTAAACTAGAAAATTTCAGCCTTCTAAACCCTTGTATCCTTTTCTTATAGTGTTGTAACCAGCTGTACCCATGTGTACCCTTTGTACCCACTGTACCCTGAGCATCCACTCCATTATTTTTAATTTTAACTTAGAAAATTTCATCCTTAAATTCTAAACCCTAGCTTGTATCCATTTCTTATAGTGTTGTAACCTGCTGTACCCATGTGTACCCTTTGTACCCACTGTACCCTGAGCATCCACTCCATTATTTTTAATTTTAACTTAGAAAATTTCAGCATTCTAAACCCTTGTATCCATTTCTTATAGTGTTGTAACCTGCTGTACCCATGTGTACCCTTTGTACCCCCTGTACCCTGAGCATTGGCTACATTTTTTTAAATTTTACTTATATAGATGTTAGTCTTCCTACCACTGGGAAGCATCTACTTTCGTTTTCAGTAGGAATAAATAGTGTACCCTTTTTGTAACCTTTTCTCCATACATTTAATAAGGGTGTACCCTAGGGTACAAAAGTATCACCTAAAAACGCAGTACCAATTTCTTGCCATATCTAGACTGGGTGACCGTAATGCTATGGAATCACGAAATTTACAACAGTTCCATAATTAGACAGTGCAGTTTTTTTTATTAACGTCATTATAAACACTGTTAAACATATTAAATCTAAAAGTCGAATATCTTTGGATATGGGGTAACCCATATCTATTCTTGTTCACAACAGGACTCGGGAGCAAGCCCCTTTGGTGTGCACTATTGGTTTAATACATACGGTTTAAAATATATTTAAAGATAGTTCAGTTTTCTTCAATTTCTTTTATTATACAATTTTTGATATAATTAAACACATGCATGGAGAACATCATATATATTCTAATATTTTCTATAGAATATTTATATTTTAATGCGGCTTCTTGCGAGGAAATTCGAACGGACTACAAAAAGGTCAAACACTTACGCCTGCGTTATGTTGTGCTATCCATCTGTCAAAGAAATCATTAAAATATGCATCGAATACAATGGCAGAACCAAGAATAGCTACAGCAAATGTTGAAGTTCGCCTAAATACAACTCTATAAATTCCATCAGCCAGACCCATTTTGTCCTCTGTTGGAAATATATCAAGAGAGGCAACTCCTGCCTGACTTCCGTTAAAATACCAACACAGACAGTGCTCATGCACTCACACTCCTTGGCAGTTTATGTTTTTGTTTGTTTACGTAAAACTGTGATGCTAATACAATGAAGCGCATTGAAGTGGTAAAATTTTCCGTTCGAATGGAACGTTTTGAGCTATATTTAGAGTGTTTATTGTCATCTTTTGACACGCCCATTTCTTTAGAAATTGATAAAACGGTCAAGTTGTTTCTTCAAATACCTGTAGAACAGGTTTTCCATAAATATAATAGCCAATCAAATTGAGGATCTAAATAAACACCGAGTAAACACGTGTTCGACCAAAACATGTGTTGTGGTAACTTCAATAGACATGATAAGTTAAAAAATATGTACATATTCGTTGCAATCTGTGTTTAACAGAAGCGGGGAGTATCTAACTCCCTCTTCTATTTTTTTTAAAGCTCCATTTCAGTGTAACTCATGATGCTTGTCGCGAAGAATGGGATGTCCTAAAACTACGACGAATATTACTTTCTCGTTTCTAAAAATATGGGCGTGTCATTATGTTATAATTGACCTTCAAAACATGACTCAGAACTCTTCATCCAAACGGAGAATTTTACCACTTCAATGCGCTTCATTGTAATACATCAGTGATGGAAAAAAGGTATTTGTCCACAATAAAAAGGAATGGATTTAAATATCCAACGAAGCACAGGAAACTGAACACCATGTTATTTGTCTAAAACTGCCCCCCCCTCCGAAAATAAGAATTGATAAAAGTTAAATTTTTTGTTTATATCGAAATGAATGACACAGGAAATTTTTGGACCCCTTAAAAAAGGGGGAGGATTAAATCTCAGAACTTGAAAATCATTTTTTTTTCATAAACGAATTAACGAATTAACGAATTAACTTTATAAACAGTCAGAACAACATAAAACCTCTAATGGAACTTTTTTTAGTATAAATTGTTTTTTAGTATTATCATGTTGACTTAATTAACAGGATAAAGAAACCTTTACAGGCTTAGATAAAGTGGAACTTCCTTTTGGAAATCTTGTCTTACATGTAGCTTTCCTAATAAAACAAAATCATATCATATCATGTAAAGAATTTTTATTTCATTGTTAAATAAATAAACATTTAATACAATTTGCTAAATGACAGTTTTTTCGTATTTGACATCAAACCCCTCATTTCCTGACCATTTCCCCCTTTTCCAATCCAACTGCAGTATTTAAATATTGAATTCCCACAAACTGAGTAAAATGATGTGCTGGCTATAGCCTTTTAGCCTAAATGGAATCATCGTCGCAAACCACTGCCAAAATGTACGATCCTCTCCCATTCTGGGAGAGAGCTATATGCGGACTTCGGAAGGTGGCTTGAGACGATGATATATGGAATAGAAAGCCACTGTCTATACATTTTCAAATTCTCGAGAGGGACGTCAAATAACAAACAAACAAACAAAAAAAAAAAACAAAACAAAACAAAACAAAAAAAAAAAAAAAAAAAAAAACAAAAAAAAAAAAAAAAAAAAAAAAAAAAAAAAAAAAAAAAAAAAAAAACAAACAAACAAACAAAAAAAACGCAGTTTTCTTCCAAGATCGTAAATAAAAATTATTACATGTACACGTAGATTGATTAAGATAATAAAATTCACAAAATTAGATATTAATCGAGATTGTTGATAGCCCTGGTACGTACATGTAACCATGCTCAAAAGTCCACAGAAGTAATACCAATACAAATCGATCATGCGCAAAGCATAAATAAACTAATACAACTTAAAAAAAAGAAGCAAAACTTTAAATGTTGGATTGAATTATCATCATATATGGTGTCGATATAATATTGATTTGAAGTTTTTGAATTAATGCTTCACAAGAATCAAGAAAGAAGTCTGCTAATAATTGGGCGCAGTTGGTACCCATAGGAATTCAACAGGTAGTTGGAAGACTTGATCTCCAAAAATTACAGAGAAATTTAAGCATTTTTTAATATCAACTTTGGAGAAGATTGTGTGTACAATCAGATTTTTTTTTAACTAAAATGATTTTGCAAATGACCATTGATAAGATAAATGAAACGAATATCATTTTTATTGAAAAGTCTGCTTTCTAGGATGTGAAAAAGCATAGAATTTAATTTTTTAAAATCGGGACTGATTGAATAAAGTGTTGGAAAGTCCTTTGATTTCACTGATGTTGGTAAAAAATTGTGATTTCAAATTATCAAAGAGTTTCACATTTTTTCTTAAGGTGTCCACATCTGATATACACCATTTCGCGAATACTGGCATAGTAAAACAGTACACCTGCAGTTCTTTCTTCATTTCTGTCAATATTTAATTGAGGAAAAAAGAGAGAGGCTTTTTAGAACATTTGCTGGAACCAGCTTTACATCTCTGTCTGTAAGGATTTTTATGCAGTTTAGGAATCGAGATTAAGTATGATAATTCAAATCCAGTTTGATTTTTGGTAATGTTTATTAATATTTATTTAAAACTGACATAAAATCTTGAAAATGGTAACTTCTAGTATCAATATATTCAGTGTACACGTATTTGATTTCCAGTGCAAGAATTAATGCTCCTCTAAAATACAATTTTAAGATCCTAAAACAGGCAAAGCTGATACCTGCTTTCTCATCTTGGACCCGTACATATTGATAGTGTATTTCATAATTCTTTTTCCACTTCTGCGTTGTTAAAAAACCAGAAGAATTATAAATGTTTTTTTTTCATTATAACATGTATATTATAATTTCGTTAAAGAATGTTGATCGGTCTTGACCATTTTCAAAATATCAAAATCTTGTAAAGAAGAGCTCTATGAAATATATGGAGATAAACGAAAGTATTCAAGCTCAAAAATTCAATAAACATTACAAAATTTGAGCAAATACGGACCTCCAAAACATCAGAGGTGGGGGCCAGGTGCCATGGAGGAGTGAGCATCCCCTGCCGACCGGTTAGACTTGCGATCTGCTCCATATCGGAAAATAGCGAAAAACTCCGTCGTCAATTCAGTGTATAAATAATGGACTAAAAATTAGTATGAAAAACTTCAGTCGGCATTTGTCTTAATGATAAATTGAATTTGCTGACAAGGTCATTGTATCGACCATAGAACTTACGAAATGATGACATTAAACGAGACTGCTGATATACTTGTTTCATTAACTTCCTAATACCTAGTTCATGCTCTTGCGTATTGAATCAGCTGAGAGATATAAAGCCCTAGACAGGTGATGAAGGTATATTGCTGCATAAGTAAGGGAAAATGATGATTGAAAAGTTAAAGTCATCTACGTGATGATCATAAAGCTTGGTTTTTAAGATTACCATTAACGTCTTTTTCAAGTAAAATATCCAAGTACAGTGTATGAAACAGATTTGAGAGACTCTATGACATCTTTTTATTTCAAGCTCACCCTATATCATATCGACATATGAATGGAAATAACCATTGTTAATTGACAATACGTAGTCGTATCTAAATGTCGAGTTGAAGGCTGCAGTGTTGTAATAAATGTTTCATGTATATAAGATTTTGGACAAATTCTGCTTCAAATGAATTTAAAAAAAACGTCTGCTAATAATGGGGCATTCCAACAGATTATTGGAAGACCCGGTCTCCAAAAACCACACAGATATTGTCAATCAGAAACTCAAACTCTTTTTTAATGTCAAATTCAGAGTACTTGTGTGTACAATCAAAATGATTTTCGACAATGTCGCAAATAACCAATGACAAGGTTAGTAAATTTACGAGTTCTATTTTTATTGAAAAAAGCAGCTGTATAAATAATATGAAAAAGACTGGACTTAATTTATTGTATGGAATGGTTGTATATGAAGTTGGCAAGTTGCAAGTTTTTATGCTGTTGATTTTAGTAAAATTTTGTGATTTCAAAATTTCCATAGAATTTTAAGTTTCCAAATCTGATATTTACCACTTCTGGAATATATTGTTGCACAATACTTCTGAATTTTCTCCTTCACTACTCTTAAAATTCTAGTGAGGAATAAAGAAAGAGGCTCTTTACATTTACTGGAACCCGCTATGTTTCTTTGTACGGATTTGTATGAAGTTTTGGAATCCAATATAAATTTGGTAATTTAATCTCATGTTCTTTGTTGAGAAAATGAAAAATATTCAAAACTAACATATGATTTTAAAGAATTTCCTTAGAAAGGGAGGTATGGGTATAGGTTGGATTGCCAATAGTAGAATTTAAAATCCTAGTTCCTCTCTAATGCAATTTAAATAATGAGCCTTACAAACAAAGACAATGTTGTGAACTGCTTTGTCAGCAGGGACCAGAACATGCTGAAGGTGTAATCTATCAAATTCTTTTTACACTTTTGAATTACTGAACACAGAAGGATAGTGGATTTTCATTTTGCCCCTAAATCGCTAAATGCGAGAATTAAACAAACATCTGATACATTTAATCCATTCTGAAAATATGGAAAATTGCAGTAATTTTTTATTCTAGAACATGTATTTCTTAACTTAATAAAAGTTCATGGCTAGCCTCTAATAATGATATTTTTATATATATATTACATATTTAAAACTGAAATATGGTTTTGAAAAATTTCCTCCTTAGGATGGGAACTAACCATGCTATATGATAAACGTGATGACTTTAACTTTTCTCTCGTCAACTTCCCTTACTTATGCAGCAATATACCCTCACCATCTGCATACGGAGTATATATATCTCAGTTGATTCGATACGCAAGAGCATGGTCTACGTATGAACATTTACTAAAACGAAGTAAATCATTGACAAGCAAGTTGATGAAACAAGAATATCAGCAGTCTCGTTTAAAGTCATCATTTCGTAAGTTCTATGGTCGATACAATGACCTTGTCAGCAAATACGACCTACAATTTATCATTGAGTCAAATGCTGACTGACGTTTTTCATACTAATTGTTAGTCCATTATTTATACACTGAATTGACGACTGATTTTCCCGTTATTTCCCGATCATGACAAAGAGCACACGGCGGGTGTGACCGGTCAGCAGGGGATGTTCACTCCTCCATTGCACCTCTGATGTTT